TGTAGCACTGAGGATATTATTTGTGTGGCTTGATTTGATACTCTGAGTGCTTGAAAGGTCACTGCTGTGAAATAAGTTTTCACACTTTGTCCAGCCACTTGACATTTAAAGCTCCTGAAGTGATTTGTAAGCTCAGTCCTTGCATAGCACTAGTGTCAGTCTCTGCAGAAACAGCATTAATGATAAAATCCATGTGCTGTTAAACAGAGCAAATACAACAAAATCCTGTTATGGAGCTGCACTTCAAGGAAGAACATACTGCTATAACAGTTTGATTGAAAATCTTATTTTTTCCTGTTCTAAATAAAGTTCTTGTCTAAACAGCACAAGATACTTCAACTCTAACATTCATAATTAAAAGACATTATTTTTCAAACAGTTGTCTTTTGATAATGTTAATACCCAAATCGCTCACCTTACGTGAGCTACAGCATGAAATACTAAACTAACTTCTTTCACAGAACACTCGGCAATATTTATAATGCACTTCACCCTTTTTACCTTCTTGCACAGGACACATTGGAATTGCTGTTCCTGATGTCTATAAAGCTTGTAAGAGGTTTGAAGAACTAGGAGTGAAATTTGTGAAGAAACCAGATGATGGTAAGTCTCGATCAGAAATGCAAGTAATTTTTTTTCTTTTGTTTTAATACAGTTTGTCTATGGGATCTTCCTGGAAAGCTGGGTCACGTGTTGCTAGGAGTTGCCACTGCTTAGAGCTTTCTAGAAGCAGTTACCCCTGCACCGCCTTATGGAGTGGGCAAAACTGGCAATGGATCCATCCCAGTAACAATAATACATCAGTCTGCTACGTGCCTTCTGTATGCAGCCTGACCTTCAGTAAAATTCACATCCTCTCTCGATGTCATAGTTTACATGTCACGTATACTGCTGCCTAGAGTTGTTAAAGAATTTACTGTAACATGGAAAAAAATTCACATGGCACATCTGCTTCGTTCTTGTCTTAGTAAAAAAAGTCAGAAAACGTAATAGTTCCCACTCATTTAAACTGAGTCATTCTTGACTTTTCTGCCTATTTTCATGTAAATCCACCTAACACCTACTATACAACCTACTAGTTATTATATTTTTAACTGTTCTTTGAGCTTTGGTAGGAATAGCCCCGTTAGTCTGTATCATAATTGACTTGCATAATGTATAGCACAAATATCTAGAGAGTATATAAGCAAAGAATGTGTATATGAAAGTATTGCAGAATGCAGAAGTGGTGAGAGGTCTTGCATTTTTCAGTTGGATTCTCTTTCATAAAAAGACCTCACGAGATTTTTAGGACTGATGCATTCAAAAAGAGACACATAATACTAGTAACTGAAAAGAGATTTAAGTGATTTTCATCTTATTCACTGTGTTCTCAGCTGAAGCAAAATAAGAAGTATAGCTGAAAACTTAACTTGATTTATTGAATTAAGAATAGATCTTGGTATTTCTAGCATTTTAGAGTTTCTGAGCCTTTTTAAATTTGTCTGTTGAATGGTGAGAGGCTTGAAATGAGAGTTGCTGACTTAGAGCTGTGCAGTGGTAGGAATGAAAGTACATAGAAGAACAAGCTTAGACTATAAATGGAGGGAATCACAAGAAAGAACTCTTGAAGCAGAGAAAGGGTGGGGGCAGAGCAAAATCTCTTTTTTAAAATTCAGAACCAAAATTGATGCTGCAAATGCCAAGGAGGAGGAGGAAGTTTTGGACTTCACATTGTTTGCAGAGCAGGCTGGGAGATCAAGCATGGGGTTTATTTTCCTGCCTTACTGATCAAACATCTGTTTCTCAGTTGTTTTTGAGACTAGACTATATTAAGAGCTAGGCTGGGTCTGTTACAGTACATAACTTCATGGAGCAAGTATACTACAAGTGTGTGGTTAACACTTCAAAGATAACATGTTAAGCTGTGCTGTCCTGATCTACTGTTGAAAGCAACTTTTGAGGACCCTGTTTTAAGGAATAATATGTTTTCCACCAGTAAAATTTACAACAATCCTATCCTGCATTTCTTTGCTTTATGAAGTGATGCAGAAGTGTACTGTAAGCCATGTCAGAGGTAAAAATTCTATGGCAAAATTACAGTGTGGAGTCAGGAATGATGGGAGATGAACAGGGCAGAGGAACACAGGATTTTATGCCAGCAAAGCCAGTTCAAGAAAATGTATCAAAACATCCCCAGAGCACAAAAATATTTTCCTGAATTTTGAGGATGAACACTTACAGGGGCATATGCAAAAAATTTCAATCAACAAAAGATGGAATTCTGAAGTGGCTTTTAACTACAGCTTTATTGAGAGTAGGATTGATGGTTTTGCATACAGAGATCTAATGACGATTAAAAACTAATTTGGATGTTTTTAGAATTATCTGTCTAAATTTGAACTAATTCACATGCAAAAGGAAAAATATTTTTCAAATTAGTTATATTTGACAATTTGACATTTAAAAACAGTCATGTAGTCTTAATTTTATCTTTTTTTTTTTTTTTCTTCCCTAATAGGTAAAATGAAAGGACTTGCATTTGTTCAGGATCCTGATGGCTACTGGATTGAAATTTTGAATCCTAACCACATGGTGACTCTCACTTAGTGCTAGTGAAGTATAAGAGAGACCCACTTTCAGACTCCTGGAGAAAATCTGTAACAGGTGTTTGTGAAATTTGCTTAATAGAGAAGAATCAGTCGTGTTCAGAGTCTCCTCCAAAACTATCCCCTGGGACCTCACTTGGATTCCTTTTCTCTTGTCCTGTGATGCCACTGCAAATTCTTTCCAGTTAGGAATACTCAATCATTTTCTGGAAGAGCACTATCACAGATTCTCCTCTTGAACATTCATTATGTTAATATTTCAGTAAACACTGTCAAAAGATACGTGACCAGAAACTCACTGCATCTCACACTGATTAGATTTAAACTAGCAACGACAACACCTACTGTGTTACTACTGATAAGCATCAATGAGGATGCAAAAAGAAACTTCAGTATATTTTTTTATTAAGTCAAAAGATCCTGAAGGCTTAATGTCCCATCTCATATACTAGAAAATAAAATGTCAGGCTAATTCTGACTGGAGTAGTAGCATGCTTATAAAAATCATAATCTTACTTACATTATTCCAAGCAAAACTCTTTTAAGGAGCAGCCTTAAGCAGTCTTGGAAAAAGAAAGTTTATAGAGGGAATAAATCTGTACAGCAGAAAGAATTCAGTCTTTCAGCTCAGCTTCTGACTGCTGATTGACAGCCAAGAGAAGAGGTCTCATCGTTGCTAACTCACAGTGACCCTTGTCTCTTTCAACACTAGGAAGAACTTGCTCATAATTTTTGTTTCAGTAGAAGCCTGAGGCTGTATTTGACTTAAATGCTCTGTATGTTCTGCCTTAGGAAATTAATGAAAAAGAATATCTGAAACAAGTTTCCTACTACTAGACATTTGATCTGCCCTCCCATAACAAGTGATAGTACATACCCGCGAGCAGCAGGAAAACATGTAGCATTTCCTTGTGTTACACAAATTATAAAACCCTCTGCCTTGTCTTACTCTGGTTTGAGCAGCACCTAACTTCTTCAGTTATGCAGCTATCAAAGAATGTGTAGTGTAACCAAAGGCTAATGAATAGTGTAATTGCATTGCAGTTCACTTCCCAATAAAGCATTGGAGAAAACTACAAAAAATGTTAAAGCACAATGACATGTCGCTTTGCTTACTGTTGAATTCTAGATGACTGAAAGGCACGCTGTTTTCCTTTGAAGATTCTGTTTTGAATCATTGTACTCAGCAGTGAAATTTGCAGTGGTCCTTTCCTGTGGACTCTTCACAGACCTCCCTGGTCCACCTCTCGTCCGTCTCCTGGACAGTCTTGGGAACGCAATCAATTGCCCGGTGCTGGCCAGCACCAAAGGGAGTTGGTCATCTAAAAACTGGATGAGGTGTGACTCCAGCACCTTTGCCATGTGTTGGTCCCAGATGGTGGAAGGACCCTGGAAAGACCCCATGTGAGCAGAAAAGCCACACTATGGAAAGCCAGTGTCCACAAAGGAGACAGAGGAGTCCTGCAAATTTATTCAAATAAAGGGAGAGTGTTCACTGGAGCACATGCCTGTTATAAACTCCCAGCCACATTTTGCCTCTTCCTTTCCCTATTGGCTGAGGTACTAGGAAGGTACAGCCTTCCTGAACTGCCTACCACGTATTTCCTCCTTAAGCATGTCACTTTCCGGCCAAAGTTAAGAAACAGGCTTGTGCGTGGACCCATTTGTCTGTTTCAGGAGTCAAATTGTCTAGGCTCTAACAAGATTGCGGCTTGAAGTTCGTAGAGACATTAGGAACTATTTCAAAGACATTAACACCCACACCCTGCCCATGGAATTGTTTGGAAAGACATTAGCAAACATCTTTCCTGTCATGTAGTCCAGTGGATAACTACATAAGGAGGAGCAGGCTATGATAAAGCTTCTCTGCTTAGTAAGCAAAAAAACCTAACCAGTTAATGATAAGTCTTTTAACCTGCAACGTTTTAAAAATATTTTAGACATATTTAGGACAATATTAGATAATATTTAGAAAAACTTCTGAAATTGTTTAATGTTCTCATAATGTTCTCTGATTACAGGCCACTATTTTTGTTTCTTCCAAGGAAGGATTCTTATCTTCTAAATAAAGCATGGAATTAAATAGCGTGTAGTGCTTTGCCTCTCGGAGGGCTTAAATTTAGCTTCATGCAGTGCAACAGAAGTCACTCTCACGGTTACGTAGCGACAGGCCCACATTCCCCATTCCCGCTGGGAGAAGCTCTCCTGACGCAGGAAAGCAGGACACGCAGCGAAGGGCTGGAGCTACGCACGCCGCTACCAAGGAAACAGGGATTTTGAATGCAGCCAAGGAGCAGCGGGCAGGCGGCGGGGAAGGTTAACCACCAGTCGCTCTTTCCCGGTCCCTGCTGTCCGGCAGCGCCGCTGTGTCCCGCCTGCCGCGCTCCAGGGGCGGAGCAGGAAACGGGGCGGCGGCGGCGCTCCCGCGGCGCGGCGGGACCCACTTGCGTCACACGCAGGCCGCTGCTGCCTGGTGACGTCAGCGCGCCGCCGGGTGACGTATGAACGGCGGCGGGGCGGGGGGAGGAGGCCTCGGCGGCGGCGGGGCCGGTGAGTCCCGCGGGCGGGAGGGGCGCGGCGGCCGCAGCCCCGGCCCCGCTGCCGAGCGGGGTCCCGAGGCTGCCCGGAGTCCTGAGGTGCTGCCGTCGGCGGCTCCCGCCGGGCGCGGGCAGGGCGGGCCGGGGGAGCGCTGCCGTCCGGGGAAGGCGCCGGGCGCGTTTGGCGGGGAAGTGATTTCACCTGAAGTGCCTTGTTGTGGAGGCGAGGGAGGAGGCGGCCGAGCGGGCTGGGGTCGCTTCCCCCGGCGCCTCGCGAGCTGCGGTCGGTGGCGGCCCCGGCTACCCCGGGCGCGACCTTGGGCGCATCGGCGGCTCCGGCCGCCGGCTCTGGTCCGCGCCCGCCCCCTCGTCCTGCCCCTGGCTGGCTTCTCCAGGCCGTGCTGTGGCCATCTAATTCGAATTTTATTTCTTAAAAAGTATAAGTTCAGTATTTTGATGCTCTCGCGGTACTCAGTGTTTGCGCTGATGTTTTGGTGTCGTAGTAGTTTAACCACTCTGCAAGTTACGCACTACCGTGATTCATTGAAATTACTCGTAGCTTAGGAAACATATTATCAGATTTAAAAGAAACTAACTTGATGTTAACTTGTTAGCAATCTGCCGGTGATCTCGCTTGCCGAACAGTGCTTTTTGCTCGTGTTTTTAAAGAGCAGCACACAGACCTTCTTGAAGTCCTGTGCTGGAATCATTTAAGTTTTTATGTGTTTTAGGATTTAATTGGAGCCTGTTCACAGAGCAGGTGTGTTTGATGTGTCTTCTGTTACAAAACTAAATCAGATGCTAGAACTGTTCCGTTGAGATGTTGGCTCAAATTTAACAAAAAAAAAAAAAAAGACACCAAGAATTTTAATGAATGACTTTTGAATGTATTTTCATAACACAGTCCAACATGACAGCATGCATTACTTATGCATATTATCCTAATATTACTTATTACATATTATCCTTTGATCCTTAAAATCCAGGAGACTTTCTTTGTAAAAAACCTGGATTTGATTTGCGGGATTAAGGTGTGATTACTTTCTAGTTCATGAGACTTCTTAAAAATATTTTTTTCTGCCTTCTCCTTCTTTGTTCTCTTCAACATATCCCATAAAGAAAACTAGAGTGACCCTTATGAGAGAATTGATAAATCATCTGTTTAGCAAGTTAAATACAGTTTATTTTTCCTCCTGGAAGGTTTGAAGGGAAGGTTAACAGTAATTTGCAATTATTGAGAGAGACTTATTATGTTGGTTATGTATTTAAGCAAGTCAAGCCTCTGTATTTCTCCATTTCCTGACCTTACAGTTTTTTTTTTTGGTTTCTTGTTTAAAAAAAAGGTTGTGCAATAGAAAAGTCTGCAACTGCCTTAAGTTTTGTGAAAAAAACAACCACCAAAACCCAAATGGAACCTCCAAAACTTTAGTTCGGGAAGAACACTTGGAGAATTTTGTCTGTGTAGGGAATAAAGCATGTGTGATACAGTTTGTATAGACCTGGTATAATTAGGACACCCATCTGGGAAAATGGTGCTGTAGCAGAAATGCCAGGATGGAATTTTTTTTGGCTTATAATGAGTATGGCAACATGTTACTGTCTTCTGTGATGGTTAAAAATATTAACAGTCAAAATTAAATTATGATGACTCAGAACAGCAATACTATTCCTGTATTCTGTTTTTAGACATTTTCCTGTTAAACTGAAGGCTTTTTAAAGAATTTATTTCTGCAAGAAGCTGAATTGAGAAATACGCATCTCTCTCACTTTCATCGTAAGGCTTTGTGCTCATGGTTTCTGATGGTGTGTATTTCATGCATTGTTCCAGGAAATGGTCCAGTTGTTGCTGTGCAGCTGGATGTTGCTGAATAACATTTCTATGAGCTTGCTGTTCAATCTGTCTGCTGTTCAGAATGGCGAAGAACCCTAATTTCCCGGAAGCGGGGAATCTGCCTACAGGCTACGCGCACTGTAGGTCTTCAGACAGCTTCACTGGTGAGTAGACCCCATGTGTTTTCTTGAGATTTTAATGTTTTTGTTATATGCCATTTTAACCAGGTTCATTTTATATATATGTTAATAAATAGTCTGCACTAAGTATATTGTTCTTTGTACTTAGCTAAACGTACTCCTTCTCTTCTGTGACAGGAAAGCATCTGAGCGGAATGTAAAATGTTAACACTACAGCATTTAAGTGTAGTAGCAGGGAATGTGTTTGCTGATGAGCAGGGCATAACTTCCCATATGCTTTGAGTCAAAACATTTTTTGGTACTAAATTGCTGTTTAGAATGCTGTGATTGGATGGTGTGGTTAGTTTCCATTAATGTTACCATCTGCTTTCCTTTTAGTCCTTTCACAACAGAAGGGTTGGAGATGAAACTTGAAAGTTCTGTGAATTGTGCTTATTAATTATTGAGCTTTCAAATTCTGTATTTATAAAGTTGTATGGGTTGAGTATGTTATTTGTATTCTTGGCTACAAAGTATCAAAACTTGTTTGTTTGGTTTTTGTCGTTTCCCCCCCCCTTACAATTTTCACTCAGATTCAACTTTGGTTGAACCAACCATTTTTACTTAAAAGTACAAAGGTTCTGACAGAACCAAAGTATTTACACTCTGCGTGTTAAAGTATTTACTGAAAATTTCTGTTTCCTGAGATTATATATTTATGAAATGACATATGTGTATCCATTGAAAATATAAAAACCATATTATTTGAACCAGTGGTATGTTTGTACAGTAGTTTACTGTTACGTCTATCATGTTCTGGGAGTCTGTGGTAATAGAATTTGAAACTAAAGTAATATTTTACTGGAATTTATTTACAATATATGAAGTAATTATGAAGTAATGAATTTATAAAAATTGAAATACTACTCAAGTGCCATCCAATCAACTGAGAACAAATTTTTAGATAAAAGAGCAGTGTAAAAGAATTGCATTTAAGAAAATTATCTTTGTGTAATTCTGATAAAAGTATTAGCTTGGTACAAACTAATTGCTGGGTACAAACTAGAGTATGTAGGAATTAGTTGTTTTAAGGGTATGAAATTATTTGCTCAGTGTTTATAAAGTGGACTTATTTAATGAAAAAATTAGTTCTAGCAATCGTCTATTTACTTGCATTTATTTCTGAAGTTTTGATAGAGCTATCAGTTATGTAAGCATTCTTTACTCATGTTATATAAAATTTTTCTTCAAATAATTCATGATTAATTTCTTATATTCAATTTTCTACACCTGGTAGAAAAACACTTCCATGTTTCATTGAAGCAGTTCTGCTTTTCAGAGGATTCTTCAGTGTTAGCCTGAATGAGGGAGGGAAGAGACTGAATGCTGATCTTTCAATGCAACTGAGAGTTGTTCAGAAAGGATGTCATTGCTGGTGTTGCTGAATTTCCTAGATGATGTTTTTGAATCCCATAACCTGTTACAGATTACCTGCTGAGCGGAAGTACAGGAAACTGAAAGCATGGAGGGGGTGGTTGTTTCTCCAGGCACAGCACACATTATGTAGTATTGCATGCTGCCTTATGTCATAAATACTAGCCTGCATTTTTCACATGCTCACTGTTGAAGATGGCCACCAAATAGCTTGTCTTTCAGTAAGGTCAGAGAAGTGGTTTGTAGGCCTTAGGACTTAACAAATGCATTTTCAGATTGTTGCAGTTCTAATCCTGCCTCAAAATCCCTGAGAAGAGTGTTTTGTTTGTTTATTTCTGTGTCATGACCAAAGCTGCAGCAGCTGACTCCTGAAGCAGTTAATTAGCTCTGAATACCTCCTGGAAGTAGGTTATGGTGCTGGCAGGCTTGCAAATGCCATATTCTTTGACTGCCAGGAAGAGTATTCACCTGTATTCTCTGAAAAGCTGATGTTGTTTGATGACAGAAGATGCCAGAGGGAGCTTCAGGAAGGGTTCTGCCCTAGTTCTTAGCAGTATCCATATTTTTTTAATCATAAATAGTACTTTTGAATAACAACTAGGAAAAGACATGTTTAGCTATACAGGGAAGTTGTGAGCTCATAGCAATTTGGCATGACTAAAGAGGTTATTAAGTTTTACTTCCTCAAACAAGAAATGTACAGATCGCTGAAATGGTTGCCTGAATTTTTACCATTAATTAATCCTAGGAAGATATGAAGCCATGTATTATTTGGCTCTATATTTTGAAGGCAGGACTGTCTCACTGGTCTGCTTTATATGAAAAATCCATAATCCAGACAAAATTTGTGTTGGAAAACTGTACGAGTAGAAAATAGATGAGTTGGCATGTTTCTTCAATATACTGGTGGTACCCATAGTGCACAGAAAAGTTATGAACATGGTTTTGTAAAGGTGACAGTGCCCTACACTTTGGGTCATTCAAGCCTTTGAAAGTCCTCCTCAGCTTGTAGCCATCATTTGACTCCTGTATTTCCTGTGCCCGGCAGGTTTGTGTTTGAAACTGATGGTTCAGAATAGTATGTGGAACCAGCAATTTGGAGAAACATTGCACATCAGAATAAATTTGCCTTGCTTACACACAGGGCAATATCTAATTTCTCCTTTCATTGCTTGCTGTCGTTCAGCATCTTGATGTTCATAAGGACTGGGCATCCTCGGGTCACTAGCAACTGTTCCCACTTCTGACTTTGCCCTCTTATATACACTGATACTTGTTTAGACAGAGGTTTATGTACTCTTGAGAGGAAAGCGTGCTTTTGATTTTATTTGTTTATTTAACCTTAAATAGAAACAATTTCCCTTGAGATTTTTGCCCTATTGGCACATGACAACATCCACAGCTACTAAAAGCAGAGTTAATGTGCAGCTGGTGGCATTCCCTTGTATTCACTACTTTTACAGTCTCTCAGTTTTATTCAGACAGTACCTGTTCTGTTCTTATTTTTTGAAGACAAGAGTGGATTTAGGAAACAAAGCAGTAGAATGTAGTTAAAAAGTTGAAATAAAAATAGATTGTAAAATTAAAATGTGCCAATATTTGTACATGAATGAAGTATCATAAATCAGCCTCCTGAATCCACAAATGTTTAAACTAGCAGAAGAGAGGTAATACAGAGTTCCTTGATGATGTGTAATTCACACGTAGTTGGTTTGCCTGACGATTGCAAATGAAGATCAACAACAGCAATTATGGGTGTGGTATGGAAGTCTTCAAGGAGTACCCAGACCTGAGATTGCAGCTAAGTAACAAATAACATCTTTTTGCATCCTCCCTCAGTGTAATAAAAAGTTTTCTATTTCGAGGACATTTCAATTTTACCATTGTCTATAAAGTCTCAAACAATTATGTTGTGGTAAGTGGTATTGCTGGTACAAACAGATGTTGCTGGGCTGATGTAATCAACTTAATCTTGCTTGTTAGAAAGTAAATCTTACTTGAAGTGTATGTAGGATAAATCTAAATTGTCTTAACTAATTGTAAGTTAACCAATGCAAGTGGAAAAAATAGTCTGTTATCATGAAAACCTGAAAATTATTTTGCTTTCATGTCAGGGTAGAAGAATGACTACAGCGTTCTGTGTTCCCATGGTTAGGCTGTCACAGGTATCTTGGCCAGTGTTGCTGGTTCTGTGCTGTAGTGGATTCACAGGCACACAGCTTCTAATTCAAGTAATTCTGGCAGAGACAGCCAGTGGAAACTTGGGGGTGTGCTGTAGTGGATTCACAGGCACACAGCTTCTAATTCAAGTAGCAGAGACAGCCAGTGGAAACTTGGGGATTTGTTCCCATTTGTGTTGTGATCTGTGATTGATTTAGTATGCTGTATTTTCCTTAAATTTTATTTTCTATTCTATCACTTTCTGTTTAGTTTCATTTGAGGTTCTTTGGGACTGTATTTCCACAGTATCTTGATTTTGGATAAAGCATTTCCATGTGTTCAAATGCAAATAATAATTAACCCCAAGTGCATCTGTTTGGGATTTTTTTAACATATTTTCTCATAGTATTTTTACAGTAGAATCTAAATGTGTATTTCTGTCATGAGTATTTGATTTGAAAGATTCTTGTGTTAGGTGTATGTAAGGTATGGCCTCATCATTTTCTTGGTTCGTGTGGTACACTGCCTTTCTTCAGCACTGGATATCTGCCTGTTTTGAAAAGTGTCTAGTAACTGGAGCAGGGAAGATACCTCTGAAGATATGGATGGTCATTATCTGAAACAACCAACCTCTTTTTAAAGAAAAGTAAACTGAAGTGTCACAGTAGAAGCTAGTCTTACCAAAACCATAAAAAGCTAAAACCTGTTGTGAAGGAAGAAGAAACAAAAGAATTCTATAGAAGATAGGACTAATGCAGTTATCTATAATTCACATTAGTGGGCAATCTCCTAATTTTATGACTAATTTTATGAGAGGTATGTTTTTATATATATATATATGGGTGTGTGTATATGTATGTGTGTAAATAAGAAGTCATCAAGAAAACTGAGTGTAAAGAATAAGAATTGAATTGTACATTGTAAAGCTTTTCTCTCTGACAGACTTTGTTATTTATTAAAAGTTATGCTGATTGTTTATTTTCTCCTGTTTCTGAAAAGCTGACTAGAAACCTGCAAAAACAGTTTTTCTTTTTATTGATTTTATTTTTTATTTGATTTTCATTGATTTCATTGGAGAGTTAAGACTAAAATTAATTAATCACATTGCTTATTTCTATTTTGTGTGTGTGCATTTTAATTCAGATAAAAATTGCTTTTTAATGGAAATATGATGTAAAATAGTTTAACTTCTAATTCCCTTTGTTGGAAACTTTTTTTTTAAATAAATGGGTTGGCTGAATAACGAGGTGACAATTCTCTGAAATACTTAGCTGGAATTGTTGGTGCCAGCTGTGTTGAGTCGGGTTGAAAACGAACTTTCATAGAAAACTTGTTGGTTTAATTTTTCTTGTAATATATAATTACTTAAATTAGTCACTTTTTTGTTATTGCAGTTATGCTTGCTATTCTTAATATTTTTTTCCTGTATAATACTGCTTGCTTTCTTTGTCCTTTAGGCTACCAGTATCACCATCCCTCCAAGATGAGTAACAGCCACCCACTTCGTCCATACACAGCTGTGGGGGAGATTGACCACGTCCACATTCTGTCAGAGCATATTGGTGCTCTAATGAACGGGGAAGAATACAGTGACGTTACCTTTATTGTGGAAAAGAAGCGTTTTCCGGCACACAGAGTGATCCTGGCTGCTAGATGCCATTATTTCAGGTGAAGTAAGGCTTTTTGTCAGGCTCACAGGAAATTTTTGTGCAGATGAGATAAACATTGTTTCCCTATGAACTTTTCAGGGTGTAATCATCTGTCCATTGAGTGTGACCTTTTCTGTGTGAATGTTTCCCAGCACATCAAATCATTGTGTTCAAAAAGAAAAGGATAAATACCATGTCACAGTATTATTCTTTTGACCTTCATTAAATTGGATTTTGAAGGTAGTTTCGCAAATTCAAGAGAAAGAGAACTTGAGGGCAGGAAAGTACTACTGCAAAGTTGTTTTGATTTCTCAGAGTATAAAATGGTGTGTTTCTATGGCATATAGTCAGATAGCAAGTTTCGTTTTGATGAATTGGAATTGAGGTTTGGCTGACACAGATTAAAATACATATTTTAAAACTAGGAATGATACTAATCCACCTTTTTTTTTTTTTTTTTTTTTTTAAGAGCTGGGCATTTTTCAATAGAAATACATTTAATATTCCAGTGAATTTTGTCAGAGGGATAAGCTGCTAACTAAACTAAACTCTTTTCGTTATAGAGCATTATTGTATGGAGGAATGAGAGAATCTCAGCCTGAAGCAGAAATTCCTCTTCAGGACACCACTGCAGAAGCATTTACCATGCTGTTGAAATACATATACACTGGTCGTGCTACACTACGAGATGAGAAAGAAGAGATTCTTCTTGACTTCTTAAGCCTAGCACATAAATACGGATTCCCAGAACTGGAGGATTCCACGTCTGAGTATCTTTGCACAATACTTAATATTCAGAATGTCTGTATGACTTTTGATGTTGCCAGTCTTTATTCTCTTCCCAAATTAACTTTTATGTGCTGTATGTTCATGGATAGAAATGCCCAAGAGGTGCTCTCCAGCGAAGGCTTCCTGTCACTTTCTAAGGTATATCTTTAGTTTTGTGCATTTTTTCCCCAGGGCTGTTAATTTTAATGGTAATACAGTTTTGTGATGAAATACTAATGAGGGAACCAATTAAAAACTTGTGTTAGCTCATAGTTATTTTATGCTTGTGAAACTGTGAGGGTCAGAAATCCTCAAGATAAGCTGAACTGAAAATTTTGGCAATCTGTTCCGAAATTCTTAGGTACTGACCAGTCAATATAGTTTAATATAGTATATCTAATGGAGTGTTCTAAAATATGGCAGCAGGCAATCTAATTTTGTCTTATTTAATCTGTTCCTGGTATAATATAATTTGGCTTCTGAATGCTTCAGAGGGGAAGTCAAATATAAACTTGAATATGACACGACATACTTTGTTCTATTAATTCCTTGATAAAGGCTTCATCAGTGGTGGGTGACTTTCTGCTGGGTGAACTAAAGCATTCTGGAGATTACTGTGATTTATATTGCTGATTGTCATCATGTTCTGAACTTGCAGAATATGGTGGTGTGGCTTGGGTTTTTTGTGTGTTGTTTTTTTTGTTAGATGCATAAATATTTGTAACCGAGTCTGGCTGTTCTATGAAGTTGAAATTTTGCACTTACTCTGCAGGGGTCTTTGGGCTGGACTTAATAGTGAGAGTGTTTTCAAGTGGTGTTCACATGAAGCAGCAGAGCACCTTGAATGAACGATGCTGTAATTGGGATTTTTTAAAGTGTTTTTTTCTTAGGGGAAGAGCTGTGAAGGGTCTGTTACTTGAGTGAGTTTATGACACTGCTGTAAATTACTCACTGTATAAGGAAAAATTTTTTTTTTCTCTCTCTGTACTGTGTCGTATACAGTTTGTTGAATCTGAGTTCTGAGAGTGTATTATCAATAAAAAAATGAGCAAACATCATTCATCAGAAAGTGCACACTTTGAGGTCTTTGACATAGCCAGTCATAGTATATAGGAGAGATCTTTCCTTTTCTACGCAAGCTCCTGATTATTCTGCTAACTAAGTGAAAATCAAAGTGTTATTTGATTATTTGTGGTCTCATTTTGCAGTCAGTGGGTTTTCTACATGAATAAGAGTCACTGGAGTTTTTACCTGGTGATTCTTAGTCGGTACCAAAAGAGAGAGAAAAATTGTGACAGGACAGAAGTCCCAAGTAGTTAGAAATGGTTAAAAAAAGTGGTTTCAAGCAACAATTCTTTTTTTCATCAGTGGTCTTATAGCAACCTAAGTTTAAAGGAATATTTTGAACTGTACCGCTAAGTCCTCAAATCAATATTCTAAAGTAAATTTGAACTACTGAATGGTATCATATTGATTTGTTCAGTTCTCTACATTTTTTCTAGTGATTTTGTTATATTGCCTATTACTTTGGTCATAGATTCTGTAATTCTTGCATAACTAAAACAATCTACAATTTCGGGGAGTCACCCCTTTGGAGATTATTTTTAATAGCTATAAGTTAAATAGCCATTAATTTTTGCCTTGTTTGAATTTCTCTTAATTGAAAAAAAGAATAATTCAACCTAATTTCTGTTTATTTAGGGGGTATATTTTTTGTTCTTATTTCTCTTTTCCAGGCTGCCCTTCTAAGTATTGTACTGAGAGACTCATTTGCAGCTCCTGAAAAGGACATTTTCCAAGCTTTGATGAACTGGTGTAAACATAACCCCAAGGAAAACCATGCTGAAATCATGCAAGCAGTACGTTTGCCACTAATGAGTCTAACAGAACTACTGAATGTTGTAAGACCTTCTGGATTGTTGTCACCTGATGCCATCCTAGATGCCATTAAGATTCGTTCTGAGAGTCGGGACATGGACCTCAACTACAGGGGCATGCTAAGTAAGCATCAGGTTTTTTGTTTGCTTCCTTCTTATTTAGTGACTGTGGTTGTCTGGAGGATATGATTAATTTGTGCTTGGAGTTTTCATCTATTACTGTGTGTTATAAAAGGTTTGCAATATGAAATGTCTTGTTATGTAGCTGTTATTCTGAATTCTCGATATTAGTCAATTATTTTCTTGCTTTGTATATCAGATATTTCTCAAAAATGAATGTAATACCATTTTCCTAGAAGTAATTTAATAGAAAGAGTTTTACAAATCATTGAAAATTAAAATGAATTGGCTGTGAGATATGATACTTAAATGGTTTTATGTTGATAGTGACTTGTTTTCTACTTGATAAACAATTTCATAGTTTCTCTGCTACCTATGACTTTTCTCTTTAAATGCTTGTCTAATTAGTTTAAACAAGTCTTTGAAGTAATTTTAGTGGAAGCCTAAGAAGTGTAAGAAACCTTGTGTTTGACGTTTTTTCTGTGCTCTCTGTTAATTCAACAAGAGTATCTAGCACTCAAGCTTTAAAAAGATAGTTAGCCATCTAATTGTACATTTGACCCACAGCGAAAGAAAAGTTCAACATTCTTTAAGAGTCCGCACTGTATTCTCAGTCATGCATGATGAGCCCTGAAAATTACTGCTATCTTAGAATTGCATATTCTTTGTTCTCCCTTAGAAGTTATAGTTATTAATATTTAAACATTTAATTAATTAATTTAAACATTTAATTAATTGATTAAAAGTTTAATAGTAGGGTATTGTGGAAGTCTTGTTATGAGAGATGTTCTGTTGACAGTGCAGTAGATACATTTGAATAAGTCAAATGGTTTCTCTGGCTTCTTTTCCCGGATATTTATCTCCACAATAAAATTCTCCTAATTACAGCTTTTTTGAGAGTGGAATTTCTTTGTTGTTTTAGTACTCATTCAGGATCTTGAAGCTTTTTCTATTTGTGGAAATGTTGACTACCACTTCAAATTCTGTTCTTTAGATATCAAATTTTTGTCAGCCTGTTAAAATTCATACTTCTATTGTCAACCTGCCTGAAAAGTTTGGGGTTGCTTTTCATCATTAAGTTTTCAGATCATATTTTCTAGGATCTCTCCTCAAACAAGGCTGTTAAAAATGTCTTTTGGAAAGGCTAGTTTACGGAGTATTGTTCTGTAGTTGAAGTTAGGGATCATTATTCCCAGTTAGCTTGAAGGAAGCTGTTCCTAGGACACAGGCTTATTACTGTGAAATGGTGGCATGAAAAAACTTGCCTTTCCATGTCAATTCAAAGCCCAAGTAGCCAAAAGTTTCCTATTTCACTTGAGTTCATTTAGCTTTGCAGGATACTGGAAGCTTGTATAGCTGGCAGAGGATCATATATGGCTTTACTGCTGTATGCACCCCTCTGCAAAGTCAGGATGGATCTTGAACATGTGATACACATCTTGTATATTTAAATTTCTTCCATTTAGGGAAGAACAGAATAAAACCCAAACTAAAGCAAACAACAGTTAACAGGTGCAACAGAATTCTGTAAAATCATGAAGGGGACTGAGAATATAGCTGCTACATAATAGTAAATTATCACAGCTTTTTTACCATAAAGGATGTAGAAGATACCAAATAAAATTGAAGAAGTGAAATGTTTTTAATGCCTCTTTTTTGTCTTATTTTCTTTACTTTCTTTTTTTTTTTTTTTTTTTCCCCCTCGAGCATATGTTTGTGGCCAAGAAAGGATCCTAGGAATAAATCTTTGGTCTGACCTAATTGAGTTGATATTCAGAACATCTAATTTGCAGTATGAGAGTGTAAAATTTAAGAAATTATTCCCTTTTCTTCTTAGTACCAGGGGAGAATATTGCAACAATGAAGTATGGAGCACAAGTTGTAAAAGGGGAGCTGAAGTCTGCTCTATTGGATGGAGACACTCAGAACTATGACCTGGATCATGGATTCTCTCGACACCCGATCAACGATGACTGCCGCTCGGGAATTGAGATTAAACTAGGCCAGCCCTCAATAATCAACCACATACGAATTCTCCTCTGGGACAGAGACAGTCGGTAGGTGCCAAGGTGACATAAAAAGGGAAAGCAATGCATTTTGTACTGGAGATCATGTAGCAGTGCAAACTATAATTTAAATATTTTATGGAAATAGTATGGTAGTGTTGGAGCTGACAGTTGCAGGGTTTGTTTGGAAATAACCTGATTTTTAAATGCAATTTTAGTTACTTACACACCAGATCATTTTTAGAGATGTTAAACTACCTTAAATTATTTCAGTGTTTTTACGTATTTGCATTTCAAACATTAAATTTTTTTTGTTCCAATTTTTTCAATATACCAAAACTGTTAAGAAAGGGCACACTTTGACAATAAAATTGGACTTGATCTTTTAGGTCTTTTCCAGCCTAAATGAGTCTGTGATTCTGTAATTCAGAGACAGTAAAATTTATTTAGAATGTGAATTACTAGCTGACTACAGTAATTATTAGAAGCCACTTTGTGGTTAGACTGCTGAAATATGAATTGTCATACATGCTGTAGCCACTTGTTACTGAGCTACTTCAGGTTATTATGGAATGTATGAAAACTCAAATTAAGCTCATTTGAACAATTGAGAGGCTGCTGAAGTAGAAAAATTGCAGGGTTCTTTTTCTCTGAGAAATTTAATATATTAATTTTGTAACTGGCCATGACAAAGATCTTACAGTTTAGTAGACAGCTCAGCAGGTATTCATAAGCTGTTAAAAACAATAAAACAAGCTTACGTATACATTTATTATGTACCTTATTACCTTGTGATAAAGGATTAATTTTATTTTATTTCCAAAAAAACTCAGTTTATCATTGTAGAACAGTTTCATTTTGCTTTTTTAGCTAAGCCATGTTATTCTAGAACAGGGTGTATAAAAGTTTTAGTTAGGGTAAGGTGTTTTGTAAATTTAAATAATTTTTTAAATATGAGTTAGTTACCAATTTAAAACCAATTTAATGAATTGTAACTATTTAACTGTTTCAAGGAAGTTCTACTTCAGTTCAACTGAAATTTGCTTCACTTCTATTTCTTTTGTAAAGATCAATAAGTGGATCTTTGAAGATAGAAGGAACTGCTTCATATAATATTATACTAGTTGTGCCAGAAGATCAACCAAATTTATGAACCAATTATCAACCAACTTTATATAATCTGAAACAGTATTAGAGATATATTAGTAATGAGTTCTCTAGCAATTTTTAGAGAATTCATGTAACTGGTAAAATGCCCCTCGTCTGCAGGGCATAAATGTTCTCCTTGGGACAACTTCTTACAAAGTTATCTGTTGCTTGGTGTCCTGTGTGCTTCGTCTGAAATTTGTAGAACAAACTTATTATTGCTGGCAGAGTATCTGACAAGGTGGATCTCTAGAGATTTTTGTCTTCATGAAATACTGAGGGCTCAGAGGTTTAAGATCTAGTTTCTGCGTCTTGCTGATTTTTAATTTTTTTTTTAATCATCCTGATTTCTGTGGAAAGTGCTATTGGGCTTTCTTTTGCTTCCCAACAGGTATAGTACTAGAATTAGCACTGTCTGTCCTGTGCAAGGCCAGGAGTTGGACTTTGATCATCCTAGGGGTTCCCTTCTAACTCAGAATATTCTGTGATTCTCTGTTCTATGAATTGTCAAGCTTTTTTTTCCCTCCAATAACTCAACTGTCTAAGTTAAATGGAAATGGAGGCATTTGGAGTACTTTATCTATTTGTGGGCTCCTCAGTATAAGATACTGACTTCCTGCAGTGAGTTCAGCAGGACACCAGGATGAAGGCTTGAGCACATGAGAACCTGCTGTTTTATATGAGCAGGCTTAGAAGGGAGAATTTGTTGCTCTCCTCACCTATTCAGTGGAAGAATATGGAGAATACAGGGACAGAGTTCTCTTGCAGCTGTGTGCTGAGAGTGCAAAGAGCAGTGGACACAAGCAAGAAGATAAATTCATATTGAATATTAGGGAAACAATTTGCACTGGAATAGTTAAACTTGGGAAGAATTTGGCCATAGAGGTGTGCAGAAATTTGCCAGCCAAGATCTTAAGGATCTGGGATTGCCCAGACATGTCCATGTCTCTCTTACTCTGAGATTGTCCTTACTTTTTGTAGATATCTTTTCCTTTCTACTGTCTTTGTCTAACAATTGCTGGCCACTAAACTGCATCTTTCTCCTGGGATACATGACTAATATCTTCTAAGGAGGTGTTTTAACACCTGTACAGACATGAACAGACCTGTACAGCATGACTACTTCTTGTTGAACAATTTTTTAAATTACTCTGTTAATTTTAACTGTCTGTGTGAAGCTCTGATCTATTGGATATACTTAAAAGAACCAAATGGAAGCTAACAGGTGTTTCACACCTCTAGTTCAGAAGTATTAACAGCTGAATCTTAGCTGTAAAAGCGCTAAGGGGAGGCTATCCAAACTGTCTCTGCAAAGATGATGTTATCCCACCTTAAAAAAATTAAAGGCATACTGTTGTATATGTTAATGGAACTGTATTTTTGAGGTAATATTTCTTTGTTTGGTGTCTTCAGAAACCAAAAAGTAGCATGTTGTGTATTGATTACAAATATATGTTAGCAATGATGAGAACCTCTAAAATTCTCAAGGCAGAGAGGTCAGTAACTTTTGTATACAAGCAGCTCAAACTAAAACTTTGCTGCCTAGTTTGCTAAAGTACATATATGTTAGTAATAATAATGTTGCTAAAACACATTGTATTTATGTGGATTGTGAGTATTACACATCTGATTGGTGTGAATGTGAAAGCTGCTATGCAGTTGACATTTAAAGACTCAGCCTTACCTTTCCAAGGTATTAACTATCTAACGTTTTAAGGATTTTTAAAAAACATAGTTTTCAATATGTACTCCTTTAAGTCATCAGGAAAATCAGAAATACTAACAAAGGCATTAATGTTTAATAAGAAATGCTTGTGTAGAACTCTTTAGGAGTAAATCCTCTGTAGAAATTAGTCTGAAAGGATGTTAAGTGGTGACATGGTGCTTTTGAAATGCCTGTGAATGTTAGGAGAAGGAAAATACTCTGAAACAGATATTCAGTGATTTGCAGTTACATAAGTGAAATTTCTACTTTATTCTAAGCATTTCAGTCATGGATATAATAGGGAATTAGCTGTAACATTTACGGTCTAGTTTGCATTTGGTTTCTTTTAAAAGCAAACTGTAAGGTAAACATAACTGATAAGCAAGAGGAAGACACAGATTCTGTCAGTGGCTTTTTTATTTTTCGTAAAGTAATTTCGGAGTGTGTAAGGAAGTAATGACAGGCTCAGTGATGGATCATAAAGAACTGAAAGGGTCAGAAGTGAAGAACAACTTCAGTTGTGAAATGGTCATAAAGTGAAAATGGTCATAAAGTAAATTCGCTTTTTTCAAGTGAGGAGTTTAAATTTGCATTTTTGATCCAGTAATTGTTTTTCATTTTTTTATTGATTTGGCAGTAGAAGTAGTACCATATCACTGGTGGTGATTTACTTTTATTCTGTGAGGAAGGAATACAAATGATAATTTTTATGACAGAGTCAAAAGTCTCCATTTCATTTTTTGAGGCACAGTAGTCTCATCTAATGACTGTAGATTGTGAGTGTGTGGATGTTTTAAATCATTCTGAGAATACATCTTACCTGTGTGAGTTCCTTTTTAAAGTAAGTTTGAAAATATGGATCTGGGTAAGAACAGGTTTTTTTTTTCAACACACTGAAAATCCAGAATTCAGTGTAAGATTTAATACCTAAAATTTGTTGACTTGTATTCTAACAAGTGGTTTTTGGCAATCCATAGGTCTTACTCCTACTACATTGAGGTGTCCATGGATGAGTTGGACTGGATTCGTGTTATCGATCACTCCAAATATCTCTGTCGGTCCTGGCAGAACCTGTATTTTCCTGCCCGTGTCTGCAGGTTAGTTCATCAGTGTAATTTACTGTGGCTGACATTAAAGAATGTAGGCACCAGAATAAGTTGCTGGATTTTGCTACTTCATTATGTATTTCTGAAAATGTGTTATATCTCAACTTCTATCAGCTATGCTAAAAAAAATAGTTTATCTTAGTTTATATAGTTTTATAATAGTTTATATTATTATTTTGTAATATTAATATAGTTTATACAATGCAGGCATCCAATTTGAAAACTATGGTTTTTCCATATCTGCCCATCTCCTTCTCCTTTCTTTTCTTTTTTTTTTTTTTTGGGATCATACCTACCTTTTTTGCAGCTGATGCTGGGTTTTTTTCACTCAGTAGTAAACATCATTCCTTGACTGCCTGAGTGTTTATAATGCACTTACATACTTACTATAGAACTTGGAAATGTATTTTTATGTATTATATATTTTCTACTGATGCACTGTTTTAAATAGTTGGAAAAGGGAGAAAGGGGAAAGTTAGGACTAAGAAGCTTTGAGGAATGCCTCGTGTGCTGTTTTGGGTACCACAATATAGGAAGGATATTAAACTATTTGAGAGGGCCCTAAGGAGGGCAGCAAAGATGGTGAAGGGCCTTAAGGGGAAAGCCATATGAGGAGCAGCCAAGGTCACTTGGTCTGTTCAGCCTGGAGAAGAAGAGACTGCGAGGAGACCTCATTGCAATTACACCTTCCTTGTGCGGGGAAGAGGACGGGCAGGCACTGATCTCTTGTCTCTGGTGGCCGTGACAGGACCTGAGGGAATGACTTGGAGTTGTGTCAGGGGAGGGTTAGGTTGGGTATTAGAAAAAGGTTCTTCACCCAGAGAGTGCCTGGACACTGGAACAGGCTCCCCAGGGAAGTAAGTGGTCACACCACCAGCCTGACAAGAGTTCAAGAAGCGTTTGGACAATCTTCTCAGGCACATGATGTGGCTGTTGGGGATGGTGCTGTGCGGGGCCAGGACAGGGACTTTGGTGATCCTTTTGGGTCCGTTCTACATCAGCATATATCTGAGATTCTGCCATTCTGTGAAAATTAATAAATGGGTTTAAGTGTAGTTAAACTAATGTTTTTTTAAACTGTAATATTATTTTAACTGTAGGGGTTGGGAATTCTGCAAGAAGCTGATAATCACATTGAAGCAGTCTTACTCAAAAACTGAATTGAGCTAATTGGTAGGGAGGATACAACCTGAAGATACCAAAGATGCTGTCATCATTAGGTTTTGGGTCATAGACCCTGAGAGGAAATGACCTGTATTGTTATAATTATTCTGTAGACATAAACTTTTTAATTGGCACAGCAAGTCTTGGAATCTCCATGGAGAGAGATGCTTTCTTTTTCACATTTTCCTGTTCTTTTCTATAAATCTCTGTTCCTCATTATCATACCCACAAAATGGTAGGGAATTTCTTGGAGATGCAGCTTATTGGAAGAGCTAAAGAGAAAATAATGTAGCAGCCTAAGTTTATGAGCACTTATTGCTAAGGAGCAGTAACCTTAAGGCAAAATATGAATTCTCAGCTGAGTCACCATGATAAATAAATAAAGTTTAGATAAGGTTTTCTGTAATCTTTATTTGCATAAGTGAATTGAAGCCTACATTGAGGAGTTCCCCATTAAGAACTTTTTATTTAATTATATTGATATAAATAGTTAGGTATTACTTGAAGGTTGAGTCTCCTTTGATCAGGAATTTTGATCAAATTCCCTCCAGGAGAGAGGCTTTGAGCAGGGGAGGCTATGTACACCTAGATATTAGTATTAGAGACTTATCTGTCTTTTAATCAATAATCTGTTCAGAATGAGTAAGCAAAGACTACTAAACTTTTCTTTTGTCTCCAATTTCAGTGTTTTGTGATAATGTGTTTAAAGTAGCTCTGTTTACTTAAACAAGTTAGATTAGTTATTTCCAGTATACTGATGTACACAAAACAGAAATCCTAGTATACACAGCATTTTCTTGTCACCTAAAAAAAGGTGTTCTCCAGTCTTTCGAGCACCAGTCATATAAGTGAATCTGAAATTGTCAGAATCTATTCCTTTCTTATTTGATATTGTTTCACAGGCATGTTGTACATACTTACCAAGGGGCAGATATGTTTTAAGTGTTTTGTATGCTCTGTTTTGCTCAATGCTGTTGTACAGTCTTGTTTTAGTGTCTCAAGTCCCAGTGCCAAAATTTTTCCTGTTAATGGATAACAGTACAGAGGAATGGAAGCATCATGTTATGTTCTGTCTTCTTGACAATAGTTTTGACATTTTACTCTTTTTGTCTTACTAATGCAGATAATATTTTTGGAAGCAACCACTTAGGGAGCCATGCTGCAATTTTTTCAAGTTTTGAATACATTTCTAGTAGAAAATCATGGACTGATTGCCTTTCCAGGAAGGTCTTCAGTTAGGTGGTGGTTTGGGGTTTGCTTTTTTTTTTTTTAATTAAAAAAATTATATAGCTCAAAGTGCTTTGTGAGGTCAAAGCATCTGTGTAAGATGTCATTTTGAGACACAACAAAGAATTGAAGTGTAGAATTATTGCTGGGGGGTTTTTATTAGCATGCCTTTTTCCAAAGTGAGGGAGTAGAACATGCCGGATTCTGTACAGGCTGTTGAAGGACAGCCAGTTGTCTGATACACTAGAGTAATTGTTCAAACATAGATTATAAACAGGATATGAGCCCTGCTACGTTAGGCAGGGTTAGTTGCTTTTTTGAGTTACTTTTCACAGAAATATTAGTTGTAAAAGGTGAGAGCTGTCAACGTCTGAACTGATATGTTCATCTAAGTTTTAAGAAGCTAGTCAAACATTTCCATGGGCATAAAAAATTGATGGAGTGTGTCTTTTATTTGCATGTATGCAAGTTGGGGTTTTTGTTTCTCTTTGAAAAACAGTAACTTTCCTCTTAAGCAAATCTATCCATATTCAATTCTACAATCAATGCATTTTTTACAGAAACTAGATGAAAAAATGCACCCTTCTGGCCTTTAGTTGTTAAATAAAATAAATAATTTATATGACAGTGAATTAAGACCAATTCAGCCTTCTTAATGAATCGTTTGTCATGTGTGTCATAGTCTTTACCATGATGTGAATTTTTGATATATGGAGTGTTATGGAATATTTACAGTAGTGTTGGAGTTAGGGGCATTGTTGTACTTCCCATGAAAGATAATTTGTATTTGGCAAAGTGCATATCCAACCATCCAAACTGATTAGGCAAAGTCAAGAAATGTGATAAGACTATTTACACTCTTGGCTTCTTCCTGTTGCTTACATGCTCCAGTCTGTCTTAATATGTTCAGAGTAACTTTTACCAGCCATAATCTCTGTCAGATTAATAGCTGAAAAAAAGTGGAAGAGCAATAACTGAAGACTGAAATTCTGAAATAAAAAGATGAGTTTGTGCTTTCTCACACACATCAGATCATTTCTGTTATTTGTAGGATGTAATTCCTGATTTAAATAAACAAGCTATTTTGTACAAAGATTACTTGTTCAGTGTCAAAGCTTAGTATAACAAGTAAGAGGGTGTTGCTGTATTTAGAGGGGTTTTAGTAAAAGAAAATACTGAGTAAAACATATGGGGGTTTTATTGACATAATTGTTTTAGACTTCACATTTTTGCTTTAAATCCTTCTAGAATACATCATTCTACCATCTTTGAAAATTGGACAGTCATATACTATGCAGAAAAAGCAAATAAGAGAGTGTGATTACAGGATAGTTCCCCCCCCCCCCCTTTTTTTTTTTTTTCAACACAGTAGTGCATTTTTTAAAAATTTCTTTTGGTCCTGTTTTCTTTGTTTGCACTTCTGTATCAACTTTCGTGTAAACTGAACACTCTTTAGAGGGAAGACAGGACACAGAAAATGTTCATGTAATCAGGTTCCTGTGGAAGTTAGGAACAAGTGTCAGGTTCATAGTTATTCCATCTTCCTCTTGTAGCAGTGAATGTTAAAACTGATAAAGGTCTTTGAGCAGGTAATGCTGTTTTCTGTTTTACCCTTCCCACTTTTTTCATCCTTTCTTTTTTGTTTTGTGACTATCTTTTTACTTCATCCTCAACCACAGTATTTGAAGAACTGCATTAAAAGAATTACTACAAAATGAAAAATTTTGAGGTTTCATAATAAGGCAGATGTAGCCACAAGGTGTCACTACAATAAAAGTTTAAAAGACTTAATTTCTTTCTGTTTACACTCGTTTGATCAAAGTGTTCTTCCTACTGTGTGCTGTTTTTGTGCGTTAAACTTTCCAGATTTACAGAATCATTCTGGTTTGCTCTTTAAGCTATAGAGGGAGCAAGTACGGAATAAGTACATAAAATCGAAAGGAAACCTTAAATTCATTTTCCATCTTTAGTCTGACACTGGATGATTCTGTGTTTTGATTGGGGAGGTATTTCCCTGACCAGACTAACTTATAGTCTGAAATCAATGCTATTTTGTCAGTAATACAGACATTCAAAAAATATATTGAAAAGGTAAAGAGATCAATTTTTGGTCTGTGTTTGCTATTACTGCCTTAGCTCTTTTTGTGATGATAATTATGTGATTTATCAAAAGAAAATACAAATTATTTCTGCATAAACAATTGGTCCCAAAGTATGTTTCTATTAAGAGAACTGGTAGATGCCTGTAGAAGCATGCTGTAAATGTGGGAAATTATTTAAGCATATTGTTTTTCCTTTTTTTAAATCTGCTTTAAGCTGAAAAATCTTGAGGTTTTCTAGTACTAGTGTGTTGAATTAATAGTGATATAAAGGCTCTGTGTTTCCCTTAAAGCACTTGGCTGCTATAGAAAGTGTGGCATTAGAATTATTTTTACTTTAGAAGGTGTATTTGTATTTTAGATGTATTTATTGGTGCAGAAAAAATTACTTGCCTTTCCTTTTATTAAGCACTGATGATACTGGGTTCGTTTTTTGTTTAGTGCTTCAGCAGTCTTTGCTACTAATGATTACACTATTTGTAATCCTCTGCCTGAGTGAAG